TGCTTCCCCACACTAACCGGCGTTTACTTGTGACGAAATAGATTACGCGGACCAAAGCTTGATGCAGAACCAATGACATGAACGATTCGGAAGCTTGGTACGACGTCAAATACGGACGACTAGCCCGCCATGCGGGCGTATGCCAACTGAGAAATAGGCGCATGATGAAAATGATGGAGAATGAAAGCCACACTGTTCCATCGGGCTTCACCTCGACCACTGAAGGCCGTAAACCGTCACAAAACAACCAAGCTCAACAGTCGCAAAATTTGAGTATCAGAAAATCACCCTTCCGGGCCAATAGAATGTACAATTCCCCACCCTCTCGTCATCCTCAGGCGGGTATCTACTCCTTCGTCCAAGGCAACGCACTCTCAATCCCGCCCCGAATCCCATCCCTCACCCCATTAATCCCATCACGGACCCCATCAATCACACCACCAGCCGCACCACGGAACCCATCACGCACCCCTTCCAGAACCCCACCCACACCATCACGGATTCCATCCCGCGCACCGCGCACCCCGTCCCGCACGCCATCCGCAACACCGAAGCCGAAATCAACGGCTCCGCTAGTAATGCCGTGCAGCGCGTCAACTAGTCTGGTTAGTGGGGGCCGAGACCGGGGAGGCAGGGAACATACGCAGCTGCGGCTCAGCTTCCGCGGCCGGGTGCGCCATGGGCGCGGCAGCGGCGAGGGTCGCGACGAAGAGGAGGGCGAAGCGCATATTGATAGCCGAAGTGAGTGGGCGTCGTTGAAATGATAATGAGCGTGTAGTCTGTGGTGCTTGAACTCCATCCCACCGCCGCCCGCACCATCTTTATATACCCCGCAACCCCCCTCCCACACCACCGACAGCTAGCAGCACAACCACGGACAAAACACTCATATCCTCATATTATCCTCGCCTCGCCGTCCCTCCTCCCAGGAACCAGAAAACTCAAAGCGTAAAAAACAAGCTCCCTTAAAGACGTAGGGCACAGCGCGAAACGTACCCACGCACCCCCGGCCACCCTCCCAAAGCGCCAGCGCGGGCGCAAGACCACGCCTTGGTCCGAGGTCACCACAAGCCCTGGGCCACGCCGGCATTGATCCTCCACGGCCTGAGCGCACCGCCTGGCGAAGCTTGTAATCGGCGCCGGAGCCGGCGACCTGGGCGCGGGTCTGGGGTTAGACGAGGCTGAGATTGGAATGCGGGGTGTGGGGAGCGATGTGATTGGTTAACGGAGGGGGAAAGCAGGGGCTATCCCCTCTCCCCGGCTGGCCTCTGTGCTGATCAGGTACAGAGAGTTCTGTGCTTAGGGAAACTGGTGGACTTGGTTAAATTGAGATGACGACCGAGGGGCGGGAATGCTGCTGGTTCCTCATTTCTGAAATTCCACGGAGGTGGGTGGCGTCATATGCGCCGGGTATGTCGGATTTTGCTGTCCATGCGCTGGTGGGATGGAATGAGAGTTGGAACTGGACACGAGATCGACTTCATGCGGTCGAATTTCAGTCAGCCCTGGAAGATGTTGAGAATAGCACTTTGAGGCTGGAACTCAACACTCAAGAAGCAAACACGGGATCAGAATGATGAATTGCAAGTCTTAATTTTACGCCTTTCATCCGTAACCGCTCGCACTTAACATCTTTATTGTACGGTACCATAGTTTCTTCTGGTCCCTGCGATGGCCGTTCAGCTCCATGACTACATTTTGTGTGTCAGGCAGGCCGACTAATTCAACTTCGGGAGATATGCCCTGGAGGCCTTCCTTTCTCGTCCAACGAAGTGTCCTGTCCAGCCGTGCCTGTCGCCCCACAGCCAGCGATTGTGTTCAGCCATTTCTCCGTGACAGAGCGCCATGCTTCACTGTACATAGCCGGCGCTGACACAGATGTATCGGCAAGTTGCCACTCTGCAGGACGGTGTTTCCCGTTCATTAGCATTGGGCCAATGCTGTTCCAGGCAAAGATAAGTTGGTTCCCAATCCCCGTCACCTTCGCATCTCGCATGACGTCGTACACATGCGTTGCTAATAGCTCTTGCGGAGTTGGTTGCTAACATCCACACCGCCCTTATAGAAGTCGTAGCGATCGATGTTGTTAGGCACACAAGAGTGTGTTGCCAGTGTGGCTCCTTTGGCATGGCAATCACGAACGAAAGGTTGTCAGGGTCGTTGTAGTAGTCGTGGAGAAGATGGACCATGATGGTCCGCTCCATGAGGTGAAGCTTTGCGACTCCTCCGGTTGGCGATAACGTCCCAGTAGGGGTCCCGGGGACCTCGACAGCTTCATCGTCGAAGATTTCCCTGCTGCGCTTGCCACCCGTTGATGTTTTGCGTGGTCGATGGCGCCTTCCGCATGTCCCGGTAGTTAGCCACGTGTTGAGGGTCACATGTCCCCACGCCACTCGAGGGATAGTGGACATGCAACAGTCAAACAGACCCAAAAGACTCGTTGCCGCACCGTTATCGTCATCTTGGAAATGCCAGCAAAAGGCATGCGGGTCGATAGAAAACCAGCGGTGGCTCCCCGAGGTCCGGGATCATACCATGTGGACGTGATATCCAAGTTTAACGAGAAAGGGGTCCGGGAGCTTGTAGATTTGGGGGTCCACGGACTCCAGCAAGATCTGGTCGCCCGTCTGAAGGTAACGCGTACTCCGCCACGGGCATCTATAATAGTTGACCATTGGCCGCGGACGTGCTCGACAGAACCTTGTGTTCCGGAAGAGAGCCAATCGAACTCAAGCCTTAGCTTGCAATGTCCTTCATCGTCTAATCTGTGCCCGGTGAACCTGTGAGATCCGTGCTCATTCTTGTATAACATACCACACTCAGTTCCCGCTCAAACTTCTCGCAGCGGCTCTCATTTCTGAGCAACATACACAGTATGGGGCGGACTAGTGCAAGCTTGTCCCGGTAAAACTTCCGGTGGGTGTCGGAAAATGCATTTCGGGCGCTCGGACACTTGGTATTCCGCCGACAGTATTTGTCTGGATGGAAAGGCGGTCAGCTGATGACAGAAGTTCACTATCCCGATGACGCTTGGCGACGATGCCTACCAGCACGTCTTGACCTCCTTCCACTATTCTGCAGGCAATCATCAAACGGGAAATAGAGACGGATATGTTGCCGAGAGTGATTCGGTCTTCTTTGCAAATGATCTTGTTATATCTTGCGGAAGACTGCACAGTACTTCCATCTGGGAACTTATGGGAATAAGCCGACTTTAAAGTCCCAATCCGGAAAGGCAGAGCAGCTTTCGAAACAATGATTGGTGAAACAAGGGAAGGACCTACCGTAGGACGGGAGCTTAGCGGTAATCTGGAGCAGGGGCCGTCTCAGCCACACAGCCGCCAGTGGCCGGAACAAAGGTGAAACGCTCGGCGTTCTCCTTCCACTTCCATCAGTCCAACTGCAATGGAGAATGCAACAGTCCCAGTGAATCGTGGGGAGATCAAGGAGGAGGGTGTTTCGTACCTGGAATATAAACCGGAGGGGGCCCAGGATGACTTCTCGTCAAGCAAGCTCTTTTTAACCCAGTCGAGCTCTTGAACTCCTCATCCACCCACGTCCGAATTCCATCCTTCAAAATGGTGTGCAGCAGGCTGTGTGCGACTATCGTTTACTTCACTCTGCTGGTGTCAGCAGCCCCGGTGGCTGTGCCAGCAGCTGGCGTAGCTCCAGCAACGACGATTGGCATTATTGACGTTAATGGAAAGCCGGGCGATGACTGGTTGACTAGTACGTATTTTTGATTCCTGGAGTCTTGACCTTCTCGCGGCTTGCGCCACCGTACCCGGAACGAAGTGTCGATTGCTTTCATCAAAGGCTTTGATAGATGCGTCGACAAGCAGCCACTCGTTGCGGCAATGCCCTACGTTCTCGCCCGCGTTTTCCTCAGCACCGTGGCGACGTCTAGAGGCGTTCTTTCACCATTCAGCCTTGACGCACATGAAACAAAAGCAAGAACTCATACTGACCTATATCTCGTACAGAGCGTCAAGTTGGCTTAGGCGACCTCATTGCTGGTTTGGCAGGCGGCACCGCTGCCAGTTAGGCAGTTGTCTGATCAGCTTCTTGCGAGATTGGGAGGCAGACACCGCAAGAAGGTATCCTGCTGGCAGGACTTGGGCGAACTGGAAGGATGCTGTACGCAAAGAGATGGATTTGATGGTTGATGTGATGGATGCGGTCGAACAACGAGTTTGAGGACTGTTAGGAGCGATGTGGGGCTGTATATCATAAGGTTTGGGTGTACTGTTAGCGAGGTGTGTACGTCATCGGAAGAGACGGAAGGTGCGATCAGGCGGACTTGGGAAGGAAGGGAGCGGGGTGAGACTCAAGAGGAAGGCACCTATCGCCAGTGGTGCCCTCGTCCGGAGCTGCGAAGGATAGTGAGGATGCTCATGGATTCCTTGTGGCATATACTTTTCTGGAGGCAGCAGGGCGAGCGTCTTGGTCTCTAGTAGACTTTGAAGCAACCCTGACTGCATTTGACAGTTGAACGCTGTTGCCCCAATTATGGAGCTTTGGATTGAACTGAATCCTTTGACGCAGCCATCCTGACTTGTGGTTCACGCTGTGATTGCTGTGAATACTGCTCTGCCAGCGACTTCCGTGGCCGTGGATCTTGCTATCGTTTGGCACTTGCAAGTCCGAAAATTCCCTCCATAATCGCAGTGTAATGCTCATGACTCCAGGGATCTAGACATTCTCCGGACTGCCCGTACCGACCTTTGTATCATATGAAAGCGCTTAAAGTACTCCGAAATACAGTTTCCACAGAGAGCAGGAAGCTCAGAGCCTTCATCTCAGCCTGACGCACGTCCGTCGATCAGCCCCACCGCTCGGGCGGCGGGCGGAACTTTAATTCGACCCCATCCACAAAACTGGCATCTGGGTTCAATGACGACCGGACTCGCTCCATGACAACGCACTGGTCAAAAGGATATGTGCGCATGCTCAAAAGTGAGTGTTTGCTTTGCGATGCAAAAAGACGAAAAATGGAGTCATAGTCCAACTGGGGGTCGAACCCAGGACCTTCTGCGCCCTGTGCTTGTGAAGCAGACGTCATACCGCTAGACCATTGGACTCATGAATTTACGGTGAATTTTTTGGAGACCAAGTTCAAGATCGTCAAAATGGCGTTGGGGAGATTGTCAGCGAAGGGAGCCCAACTCACATACATGGAGCACTTCTTAGAGCTAAGGGTACGCATTCCTTACCTATGATGATCCAATCGGCCCACAAAACTAGCGGACTATGAACCGAAACGACACTTCATTTAAGGGGTATATACAACTCAGCAGGAGCAACTCTAAAAGCAAGAGCTCTTCTCACTTGCCCTCAGCCTCGCTGGCTGCCTTTTCCTTTTCCTCCTTCTCCTTGATGCGCTCTTCGCGCTTCTTCTTCCGATCCAAAAGCTTTTTCAAGTTCTTCGCGATATTGAAAACACCATTGGTGCTGGCACCACAAACCGCACAGTCCGGCTTCTTTCGGTATCTCTGCAGCGCACACGCCTCACAGAAGTAGTGACTACACCGAGTCACTATCGGGTCCTTATAGTCCCCCTTGCAAATAACGCAAGCGAACGGAATCTTCTCCAGCAGCGCAGCATCTGCCTCATCCTCTGCCTCCTCGCCCTTGCCGCGATTTGCCGACGCGACAACCTGGCCCTGAGGCTTCTTGCCATTGGTCTGAATCTCCCACTCGCGGTCAATCGCCCATCCCTGCTTGTAATCCTCGCGCGCGTGCAAGAACTTGCAGCTATCGCCAAAGCCGCAGAATCCCGTCTGCTTGTAGTCCTTGCACACATCAGGCGCAAAGTCGGTGATAGTGACGGTGCGGATATTCGTCGCTGCCTTCATCGGCCCGACCGTCTTCGCCAGCGCATTCGGGTTCTTCTGGATGTAGGTCTGGTAGTTGGCTGCGCCCTTGTACGTGCCGTTGATGGTAGGCGGTTCATCCGAAGCCGCCGGTTTCGCCCGTGTTGTCCCTAGCAGGTTCTGGGCACTCAGGGCGTCCGGCGCGGCCTCGTCGTACCAGTTCGACTGCTTCGTGGCGTCGTTGACGGAGGCGATGGTGGCGGAACGGTCGGCGGTGAAAACGGTGGGGACGAGCGTATCCTCCTTTGCTGCGGGCGCATCTTTCGAGGACGCCGTGACGACGGCAGTCTTGCGCCGCCGCTTGATCTTGCGGCCCGAGTCCGACTCGGAGGTGTATTCTTCGGATTCTGAGGAGGCGGGAGGCGGGGTGGCGGGCCGTTTGCGGAGGTTTGCTTTGGCGCCACGTTTTTTGAAGGTTACGACGGGGACAGAGGGTTCGGAGTCCATCGTAGGCGTCGAGGGGTGCAGAAAAAGGGGTTTATCAGTGTTTGTGGTGTTGGATGATGGAGACTTTGAATGCGCGACATCTAACACCGCCACATCAAATCGTGCTTACATAATGCCCGTGTGGCGTGGGTGGCGTTCAGTTGATGGTGACTTTCCAAATCTTCAGATGCAAGGGACATTGCTCATAGAAGGAGCATAGAACAGTTATGGAAAGAGAGCAGAACCAGCTTGAACATGAGCCGTAGATTGGTAATGCGAGCTTCGATGCCTATGTTGCTGTGATCGAATCGTGCTCTCTCGGAGTGAATGCCTCGACGTTACGCGTTCCCCATTGGTCGATATGCTAAGAAGTGTCTGTGACGTGAATGCGGAGTGCATCAACAGATCCTACGGTAGTACTGTGTATCGGGTGCTTTACCGAGTCACCGAAGTCGTTGACCGTCGTCACAGTCAGCGGGTAATCAATTCAAGAACCAATGGCCGGTGATAGCGTGTTTGGCCTTACGAAGCGTACAAGAACCCGGGCGCGAGCAACAATGCAATCAGCGTGAAGGCCGATGCATGGAACCAAAACAAACAAATCGAGGCTGCCCGTATCTGCAAGGACCGCCCACTCTCCTTCGAGCTTGGCAAACACACGCCGTCATCACGGTTAAGGCTCACTGCGCAAGCTGCATCTTTTTCGCTGAGGCTGCGACTGACGGACCACCTTGCATCTGTTAGCAGCGGAGCTGTACGCCCCAAGACGATCCATCTACTCTTACTACTGTCGTCCGTACGATATTCTTACAACGGCCATCGCGTCAAAGGGACGTTGAGCAGCTAAATTTGTGTTTGGCTGGCGTGTCACGGCTTAGCGCCACGCCCCCCCGCTGGCCGATAATTCGCCCTCCGCCGAAGAGCGCGTCTCCTCCCTGTGTTTGACACTCCGCAATCCCATCATCAACACCATCAACCCAAACGTTTCCCTCGTCAGGACGTCCTTTCTTTCCCTTCACCTATTCTCTACCACGTCACGGACGCCTCTTTTCACTCCACCCCGCAGTGCCCTGATTTCTATCCGCTGTTTCATTCGTTGGCCTCACCCTGCAGCTCGCCCCCGCTTTCCACCTTGTTTTTGCGCAGCACGTTCCTACGATCACAAACCTATTCCGCCCCACGCCGATTAGCCTTCCTACCTTCGCTTGATCATCGCCGCTGCTGCTCCGTCGCCGTACGCTGACGGCCAGCTATGGCGACAAGCGCGAACCCGCCGGCGGGCGCAATGCCTTTGGGTGATTCCGATCCCTTCTCTACTCCGCACCTCGATCGCAACCGCTTCTCCGGACTGCACCAGCAATCACTCTTTTCACAAGGCTCTCCATCACAGGCCAAGCGCGCCCTCGAGGCACACATTTCCGAAACCGAGCGTCGTCTGCAGGAGGCATCGCGCTTGGGCACCGTGCTCGTCAAACAGCGCCAGGAATTGGCAGAGCGTCTGAGGGACATTGAGGCACAACAGAAGGACGATGAGATCGAGCCGGAATTGCGTCAGAAGCTGGCCGAGTTGGAGAGAGAGGTGCAAGATGTTTCACGGGAAACCGCTCGTGCCTTTGTGGGCAAATCCCGCATCGTGTCTGAGGTGGCCGATGGCACTGTGTTCTCCAGTGACGCGTACAATTCCCCGACCAAGGTCCAGGCGCCGTCGCGCAAACAGCGAAATCAGCCGTCCACTCGCTCGAACGACCTCAAGCTTGCGACTGAGATCAGCTCCACTCTTGTACAGCAAATCCGTGACCTCCAGGCTGCCCTAATTGAGCGGGACGAGGCGTTCAAGTCTGTGGATGCTGAGAGATCACAGCTCGAGGAGGATGTCGAAACCCTCAAGCAGCGCTTGCGAGCGCTCGACGAGAGCGAGCAGCGCTGCAAGGACCGCAACTGGGCGCTAGAAACACAGCTTCAGGAACTCATGACTGCGCAGAAGGAGGCCACGGATCGCGAGGAGCGCCTCAGCCACAACTTCAACACGGCGAAGACGGAAAAGGCAGCCCTGGAGCGCGATTTCGAGGAGCTGAAACTGACCCATGGCAAGTTTAGCGAGGAGCAAACTGTGGTGAACAAGCACCAGGAGGCGGAGATATCCTCCCTGAAACGAAACATCACGGCTTCCGAGTCCGAACGCGGCAACTTGCAACGTCGCATTGACCAACTGGAATCGCAGAACAAGGATCTGGCACAGGCCTTTGCTTACCGGTCGAGACTCGATGAGCGTGCCGCTGCTCAAGACTTGGATCTGGACGACGATGACGCCGAGAATGACCATGAGACTCCGGACAACTCGCCGCCTGGCTCGCCTAGCAAGGCTACACCTCGTCACGGTGCGCTTGAGACAGAGACACTTCGGAGCTCGTACAATCATGCCCTAAGGACGATTCAGAACCTGAAGAGTAATGTCCATCGTGAGAAGACTGAGAAATTCGAGCTGCGGCGGCTGCTTCAGGAAACTCGTGATGAATTGGAGGCGCGGCGGACCAACGGCGGTGTCGACAGTGCGTCGAAGAAGCGGGCAAAGGCTGCACAAAACGACCTGTTCAAGAAGCCCACGCGTCCCGACAGGCTTGGAGCGCCCCGCTCCGGTAGGAATGAGGTCATTCTGGATGATCCGGACTGGGAGGATCATGACGGCCAGACCACGCCAAGTCGGTCCCCACTTCTTATGCCAGTCGACGGGCGCCCCAATGGTGCTGGCTCTGCTTTCAACCTCTCACGCTCAAACGACAACACCGACGCTTATGTTACTGCTACAGAAAACTCAGATGCCTTTGAGACTGCGAATGAGGCGGGTGCCGACAACACGGAGACGGAGGCCTTTCACACTGGTGCCGAGACTCTTGACGGCGACAGTGGCGATGACCTGACTGAGACCGAAGACGGAGGCCCGTCTAAGGTTGCCGCCGGTAAACGTCCCGCACCCACCGCCCGCTATTCGTTCCAGAGCACTGCCTCGACGTCTGGAGACGATGCCGACGACTACACCCGGACGCCCATTCAGGCCCAAAATGCGCGCTACAAGTTGCGTGTCGGCCGTGGATCTTTCCGCCGGGGCACTAGTCGCACGAACTCTGGCCCGAGCGGAGCTGATTTTCGCGAACCCGAGCTGCGTAGCTCGCCTGCACCCAGCATCACGAGCAGTGTTGGGACTCCACAAGCCGGTCAGAGCCTGTTTGCTGAGCTTGGCAATCTGAGTGATCCCGAGACGGAGGATGGTACGCCCAAGAGCATTGGTGCTCCATCTAGACGCGGCTCACCTGAGGTGATTCGTCGGATGCCCAGTCAATTAAGCAAATCGACGTCTATCGACGCCCCGGTCATGGTTTCCACCGGCATGATGACTGAACCCTGGGAACCTGGGCATAAGGGAGCAGGTCTGTCGACTGTTTTGGGCGCTGCCGCTGCGGGTGCGCTTTCATGGGCTGGGATCTCTGAAGCCGCTGATGCCAAGGCGGGCGCAGATGCTAGACATATCGAGGAGCCCGCCCCTGCTCCGGTGGTTGAGAAATCTCTTCCTTCCTTAGAAGTCTCGAAGACCTTTAGCCAGGATATTTTACCCCTCGAGGCGGCCGCCCCGCCTTCGCTCAGCGTTTCCCACGTCGCTTGCCAGCATGTCGAGCCGGTGGAGAAGGAAGCACAACTTCTCCCAGAGCTTCAGTCAGCTGCGATCGTGTCGCATCACGTGGAACCTGTGGAGCACCATATACCGGCTCCTGTGATCGTGGAGAAGG